GCTTGCAGTGTTGCATAGCTTTACTACTTCTAGAAAATGCAATAATATTTGTTAGAAAAATAAAATTTTATAAGCTAGACACCCACCCAACCCAGGTAAAGGCACCGTTTGGGAAGAAGAATATGGGACTTTTTTGGCTATTTTAGCCATAAAAGACAAAATAGGCTATTTTAGCCACAAAAGACAAAACATCACATCCAACTCATAATCATCACACTCTTCTCTCACAAAAAAATTCAAGAAAGTCAAAAAGCCAAAAAGCCCTTCCCAAACCAAGTTTTTTAACCCAGGCTAAAATGGCCAAAAAAGTCAAAAAATAAAAAAGCCAACTCACTTCCTAAACCAACCCAAAATATCTTTTATTGAAAAAAATTTATCTCATGATCTTACGACAAATTTACATGGTATCTCGATTTAATAATTATTAATTATAATAGTAAGAATTGATACTTTTTATTAAGATTTTAAAAAATAATTTGACACATTAAATGACAAATGATATAGGATAATATTCCGAACTCACCAAATAATCACTAGTTCAAAGGTTTGAACATTACACCCACTGTATGAGGCAAAAGTCACCCATCACAAAAATTAGGAAAGTTTATATATTTTAAAATTCGATCCTTGTGATAAGTTGAACTTTAAATTTAAAATTTTAATTTTTTTTAAATTTAAAAATTTTAATATAATATCAATCTCAGTAATTCATTTTTTAATAATTAGCTTAAAGGTAACATTCACAGTAGTCTCATTGTATTGGAATCTAAGGAGCATGCTTTGAGATTTCATAGAGTTGTGTTTCAATTAATTTGATGAGTTGAACAGTTTATATTACAGGTTCGTCAAGCCTATTAGTTATAATAAAAAAAAATTTAGTTAATTGGACATGTTTTCTCATGATTAAGTTCTAATTGTTTTAAAATAAATTATCAAAATTATGTTAATCGTTTATTTTTTTTAAAAAAAAAACAAATATGATCTTATTATGGGGTTATAAATATCTAATTAATTATTTTTTTATAAATGATTTATTCAAAAAATTGTACAATATAAATAATTCGAATTATCAATATGAGCTCAAAACAAAACCCTATGAAACACAATGTTATGCGCTTCCCATTTAGGATGTGTTTGGTTCAAAGATTTAGAGAGGGGTTTGAAAAAGAAAAGGAAAAATATATGTAGGTAAAATGTAAGTATATTTTATTTAAATTTCACCGATATTTTTTCTTTATGTTTTCCTTTTCAAATTCCTTCTCATATATTTGAACTAAATACAACCTTAGTTACTTCGCGTAACTTAAGGCTGTGTTTAATTCAAAAATTTAAAGAAAGATTTAGAGAGAAAAAGGAAATAATAATAAAATATGAACAAAATATACTTATATTTTACTTAATTTTATACATATTTTTTTCTTTCCAAATTCCCATCAAAATTCATAAACTAAACCCAACCTAAAACACATAACTCCAGCGATCATGGTTTTTTTTAAAAACTCCAGCGGTCTTGCTCAAGGTCCTTCTCAAGCATGCACAAGTGGTTTAGTGCTATAATAACTTGTCAAGAAAAACTAAGGACTGCGTCATCCATTTAGCTATTTAAAAACAGACTTTATGTATCGATATTTGTACTGAGGTGCACACGAATACTATCGACGTGATTGACGTCAAATTCAATTTATTTATTTATGGGGATTTTATGTCAATTTATTCATGTCAAATTCAATTTATGAAATTATAATATAAAAAAAATAAATTATAAATACATTTCTTAAGATTTACTTAATATAAATTGTCTTTTATAGTTTTAAAAATTATAAATATCTTTTTATCAGAATTTTTTATTTAACAGAATTAATTGAAAAAAAAATGAAATTCTTAACTATTTTTTTAGATAATGATAAAATTACTTAAATTATTAATTGAAATAAATTTTTGACATCATTAAAAATTGTTAATTGACTTGATGATTTTATTAAAAATAAAATTTTGACATCATTAAAAATCGTTGATTTACTTGATGATTTATTAATAAAATGAGTCAACTGTTATGAAATTATAAATTTCAAGAGGCAAGATGTTATTTTCCAAACTACATGGGATAAATCGTATTTTAGCAAATTTAAGGGAGTATTTATAATTTACCAAAAAAAAGAGGAGGAGTAATTACATGAGATTTTTTTGTAATAAACAAATTTCTCAAATATTTTTGAAAACACAAGTCATTTTTTAAATTATTGAATTTCTAAAAATTGTCTTGCACAAAAAATAAAATAGAAAACTATGGGTGGTTCTATTCCATCACTTTCCATTGAGCAATCAACGGAACTTTGAAAACAATTGATCAAATTATCATTTCTCTTCTCTCAAATAATAGATACTACAAGCACACTCAAATTTCACAATCAACATGATGGATTCTTTTTACTCTTGCATTTCTCATCGCAAACAGTTTATCTCATACTTGACTTCACTTCCATTACTAAAAAACAAGGGTTTCTATGAAATTTATCCAAAGTGTCAATGATCAGAGGTAAAGGTGTATGTAAGAAAATAAAATAATACGTTTTCATTGTTTGTGTTTCTATATACATGAAAAAACAGAAAAGAAAAAAAACTAAAACTAAAACAAAAACACAAGAGTTATATGGTCTATCCATGCATGAGTCAGTTTTTATGTAATTTCTTCTAATACTTTTTGTCATATGATGTGGTCTTGGATTTGGTGCGCACATTTTGTGATCTACTTTGATGATTTGAATTGTTGATCTTGTAGGGTTTAATGAGTTGATCATCCATACAAAAAATTTAAATTAATTAGATATTAATTGTTGCATGATCATACTATATTTATTTTAATAAAATGAATGGCAAATTTTAATTTTAAAACTAGATCGTCTATTTAAAATATATACATATATTTTTTATTATATGACCGATCCCATTTGATGGAACTTAATGCTAGGCTTGGTTTGATTTGTTTTGGTTTGACTATTGATATCAAATCATTTTAATTTTTTTGTATAAAAATTTTATTATGTTTACAAGATAAAGAATTTAAATCACTAAGATGTATCATGATATAGGCTCAGTGAGCCCAATAGCACCTCTTCATTTAGATGCCAACTATAAAGAGTCCATCCCCGTATTGTATTTGATTATGAATATTATATGTAATCATTTATTTATTTTTTGGGTAGAGGTTGACATTCAAGTAATTTGAATTAAATGTTATACATATTCAGAGTGTGACACATTAAAATTAATCACATTTTTTTATTGAAGAAGATACGCTTCGTACGCCTAACATAATATGTGACATATTATTTTCATACGTGGTATGTTTTTTAATTTATGAAGTAATAACCTCAAAACCACTATTATAGATGTCATCATCGTATCCTAATTTCAACCCACTACCGTAAGCACCATCGTCACCACAAGAAAAACACTTTGAGTTTATAAAATATTTTTATTATGAAAAGCATTTCTTCATTGTCATGGGCCCTGTGACCTAATAAAAATATTGAAAACTAGGACCAATAATTCATTATTTAAATGAGAAATTTCAAATAATTTTGCAATAATGTCAATAGTACACAGTAAAAAAAGAATAAAATAGAGCTTCCAACCCTTGGCTACAGAGAGAATTTTTTAATTATATTAATAATTATAATAATTTGTTTGTTGTTCGCAAGAGTTGTCTCAAATTCACTTTGATTAATTCTCAATATACTAATGTTGTGTTTGGTTGGGAAATTTAAAGAGGGATTTAATAATGGAAAGCGAAAAGGTGTGTGAAACTAGATGAAATATAGGTATATTTTATTCTCATTTCACCTCTCTTTTCTCTTTTTCTTTCCAAATCTCTTCCCAAATCTTTTAACCAAACACAACGTAAGTAATTATTTGGTAAGGGAAGAGATTATTAGAGTTGGTGTTGAACTTTATTTACCCTTAAAGTTGTATTTAAATTATAAATTTCTATACAGGTTTGTGGAGTAAAAGAAATGGGAAGGGTAAAGTAAAAAAATATGAACTAATTTTTTCACTTTTTCCTTATGAAATTGCTGAATATTCTGTGGTGCTGAGCAATCTGTCCAGGGCTTTAAGTTGGGCCTAAACAGGGTGGAGAAGGTTTGATTGAATAAAACTTAGGCCCAGTTATCATCTGGGCTCATACTAGCCTATTTAAAGTTGGGCCTAAACATGTGGAGATTGTTTAATTGAACTGCACTTAGGCCCAGTTATCCTTTGGTCTCATACTAGCCCATTTAAATTTGGGCCTATACAGATGTAGATTGTTTGATTGAATTGCACTTAGGCCCAGTTATCGTTGTCGTCTCTCACAGACATAGGCCTATGTGGTAGGGAATGAAAGCGAAGTAATATTGGTCTGTTTGGTTTGAAGGGGAAAAAAAAAAAACAAAACCTAATTTGACGGAAATAAATATCAAAAATATATTTTCACCCTCAAAAACTAAAAATTTTATGTGAAATTGACAAGTGTTTTCGTAATTGGCGGTGAACTATTAGTGTGGACAAAATCGATAATCATCAATATTTGTAAAAAGGCAGCAATGACAATTTTGTAATTAAAAGTTAATAGTTACAGTTTTTTTTTTTTTAATTTATTATTAAACTAGAGATTCAAGTTTGCCTAGATCATTATGCCTTTGTTGGGGAAGAGCTAATTAGCTTGGTTTTTTTTGTTTTTTTGCTAATTTAACTTGATTAAATTAGTTCCGTTTAAGAAGAATTTTTGATTTGAATGTGATGGTTGTGAGAGAAAATATGACATGATTATGATTTGAAATGTGATATTTTATTTTATTTTATTGACTAAATTAGTCTATTTTGTTATTTTGTGCTTATTTAGGCATTTTAACTCTTCCCAATCTCTCTCTCTCTCTCTCTCTCTATATATATATATATATATATATCAATTTCCTTAATTAGAATTAATCTAATGTGATTTTGTGTCACACTGATAATAGGGATATTGTCAGCAATTACTGCTCACAAGTTAGGGACCTAGGGTTCAGATTACAAGAAGCAATAGCAGAGAGCCTAGGGCTTGACAAAGAACACATAAAGAAGGTATTGGGAGAGCAAGGACAACACATGGCAGTGAACTATTACCCACCATGCCCAGAACCAGAGTTGACATATGGATTGCCAGGGCATACAGACCCAAATGCACTAACAATACTACTGCAAGACCTTGAAGTTGCAGGGCTTCAAGTCCTCAAGGATGGCAAGTGGATGGCTGTCAAACCCTACCCTAATGCTTTTGTGATTAACCTTGGTGATCAACTGCAGGTAACCTATACTTCTTAGATTCTTCAAACATGCAATCCATTGCTTAACAAATATATATATATATATATATGTATATATATTTTTTAATTTGGGTAAGTGAGTGTCTTATTATCAAAAAGAAAAGAAATATAATGAATAATGCTTGGGATCCCTTTTTGGGGGTCACCCCTCACCCCCCCTTTGCCACGTGGCGGGTGGTGATTGGAGGAGTAGGAAAAAAAAGAAAAAGAAAAAGAAAATGTAACCAATGAGAGAGAAAGAGGGTCAAAGGGGATGGGAGAAAAAAGGGGGATGAATCGTTGTTGAAATATAATATAACTCAATACAAGTGTTTAAGGACAAATTGCTTAAAAGCCAAGGCCTCTAGCTTCACAATATATCAGATAAAAAAAAGGCAAAAAAAAGCCAGGCTTCAAAAGAAAGGAGCACTTTCCCAAAAATGAATTTGTTCACATAATAATACACAATTTATGATTGGTCTAAAATAGTGAACTCCATATCTAAAATGCATAAGTTATATTATTTTTTAACAATCACAAAGTGTATATTGCTCACACACATTTTCAGTGTGAAGAAAATTGAATTCCAGTATCTATTAACACTTCACTTTGTTACAACAGTGATTCGAATCGTTCATCTTGTAAACTTCGTAAAGAAAAACATTGTGCAGAAAATTAGCTTAATTGGGAGTTAAGGAATATTGTTGCATAGAATGCGCACCAGTTACTGCTACGCACCAAAACAGCATCGTTTTGATGTCAAAGATGCTAAATCAGAATTAAAAAATTGATTTCAAAGATGCAAAACATCGGTATTAAAAAATTTGCGGTTAAGAGGACTTGAACGGCATACCTTGTGAAGTGAAAGAAAATTATAAACCACTTTGCTACAAGTTCTTTTTTATGAAGACATCTATTTTACTTATTACCTTATTAAACCAGTACATCATATATATAAATATCATTAAAAGTAATATTTTTTTCATACTTAGTTGGTACATTATAAGGGTTTACTTTTTTCTAAGAGGGCTACATTAGCCTCTTTTTTATTTATATTGTTTTTTATTTTTTATAGGTTTTTATCTCTTTTGAACAACCTACACAAATCTCAATTTCAATTACACAATACTTCTCTCTTTTCACAAATTCAGACAAACTCAAAAACCCAATTTATGTGTTGCATAAAATCTATGCAGATTATACCGTGAAAATCTTCCTTATATTATTTTATACAATCACAACTCACCAATTATATTTTGAAAATCTTCACTGTATCATTTTATACAATTAGAAACCTATACAAATTATGGGATTATCTCTCTCACTCCCTCTACCACCGCCCAAACTCTTCTTCCTCTCTCTCTCTCTCTCTCGAAGATCTGTATTGTTCGATTTTTAAATTTCTCATTCGAATGTAGACAGAGTGTCTCTCTTCCTCGTAAGTCTTATTTCTTTCACTATTTGCTTCTTGGTGTATTTTTTTTATATGTTTTTTTAAAGCAAGAAAAAATATATATTATATATAAAGCTGTGGGTTTTTACTTTTTTTCTGTGAATTCCTTTACTTCTGTTTAGGGCTCAAACCTATAATTTAATATCATGTAAATTTATTATATATATTTATTTAAGTTATATTTTTGTAGCACGAAAGGTTAAAATTATCAGATGAATGTTTCTTTTTTGTGTTATAATTTAAAATTACTATATATATTTATTTGATTTATATTTTTGTGTTATATTTTTATATGTTTATTATTTCGTGTTATCGTGTCATGTCATTTTCGATTCGTATCCAGTTCGTGTTATAATTAGCACAAAAGGTTAAAATTATCAAATAAATGTTTCTTTTTTGTGTTAGAATTTAAAATTATTATATATATTTATTTAATTTATACTTTTGTGTTATATTTTTATATTTTTATTATTTCGTGTTATCGTACCGTGTCATTTTTTATCTATGTCTAGTTCGTGTCGTGTAAACGTGTCATGTCAAAAAAAATTACTATTAACTAAAAATATAATAACCAATTTTAGATGAACTTTATTTGAAAAATACTTATTTTCTATATATTTTCATTGTGTATTCAGTTTTATCGTTATCAAATTTATTTTGTATATAATTTAATTATTATAATACTTAAAAAAATTATCTTGTTATACAAATAAATAAAACAGAATGTGCTTAATTATGTACATAACACTGATCAAATTAATTTTCTTTTATATTATATATTTTTTGTCTATATTATTGGTATCTTAATATTAATTTTTTATTTAACATGAAATTATTTATTACAAAAAATTTATATTTAATTTAAATTTTATATATTTTTTTTTCTCGCCTACGAATTTTAATACCAATTTTGTATCTTGTATATTAAAATGACAACGTTTTGGTGTATAGAAGTAATTGTTGCGGGGAATGTGTAGCATTATCCCCAAACCCCTTAATTGGACATTGACAGGCACAAACTAATTGGACAACAGTATCTCCAACAACCGTGCTGGGGACCCCCAGTGGGGGTGACCCCCAGCACCCCCAGTCCACATGGGGCATTGTGATTGAGTGGAGAAAAGAAAAAAAAAAAAAAAAAAAAAAAAATCCCAGCCAATAAGAAAACACTGGGGGTCATGGGGGTTTGAAAAATTGGGGGTCCAAATCATTTTTGGTATCTCCAAACCCCTTAATTGGACATTGACAGTCACACAAACTAACCTTTTTGGTTTTATAAAATGGACTCATATTTATAGTTGATTTTATAAAACAAAACGTAACTACTTATACCGTAGTTTATTTTAGAACGAATTATATTAAAGGTCTCTATAATTTAGGGTTTATATTACTTTAATTTTTGACTTTTTAATTCTGTCACATTTGATCTTGAATTTTAAATGTTATTCTAAATAAGGACAATTAAATATATCATTACTCAATTTTAAGGACAAAATTGTCAATTTGATAAAATATAAATTAATTTGATAAAAATAAATGTCAAAAAATATTTTTAAATTTTTAAAAATTATTTCTACCCACTAATGATAAAATTATGTAAAATTGATAAATCGTTTGCACATTTATTTATTTATTATTTTTTTACCAAATTAATTTTTATTATATGTTTGAATGATGATTATGTAATAGGTGATTGTTTTTATTTTCATTAAATTAGTTTCTATTTTTTTAAAAGTCAATATGGCGACAACTTTAATATAATTATTAAACCAATCCATTAAATCAAAAAATCTAAAATTAAAAACATTTCATATATTAAGGCCTGGTTTGGGTACCCACAAAAAATCCAAAAAATTAATCCAAAAATTAAAAAATTATCACTATTCACTCAAAAAAAAAATATTAAAAAATTAATTTTACACATTATCACTTTTCAAACAACTCTGCGGCAAAGCAGTGGAGCTGACATTTGGGAAAAATTACACTTATTTTGGGGTACAAATAGTATGGTGCTATTCGCCTCATGGGAACCTATCACGGGTCTCTTTTTAATAATCTGAACGGTAGAATGTGTAGAACCCGTCGAGTACTATATGCATGTAAAAAATCACACTGATTAGATAGCTGTAACTATATGATCACATCAGTTAAAATTTATAAAATGGATGGTATTATAGTTAACGGTTGAAAACAAACTAATCCGATCAAATAGCTATCGATATCTAATCAATGTGATTTTTTACAACAATATAGTACTCGACGATTTCTACATATTGAACGGTTTTGATTAGCAAAACGGGACCCGTGGTGGGCCCCATGGGCCGGACAGCACCTCTAATTTAATGCCCAAAACGCAGGGAATCATCTCCCCAGCTTCTATACTGCCAACGCTGTCCCTCAATTCAACCTATGGTGTAGCTTATTCCCTCCAATCTTCTCCTATACATTAATTTATATAATTTTTTAATACATATTTTTTTATAAAAAGTCAAAAAGTTATCCCAAACAATCATATTTTTTTCCTCAATTTTTTAGTCCAAAAAGTCAAAAAGTGAACTTATTTAGGACACCCCAAATAACCCCTAAATATATCGACTATACATTAAAAGTCTAGTAACCACCCATTACATGATCATCATTCAAACACATAATACAAATTAATTTGATAAAAAAAATAAATATGTAAATGATTTATTAATTTTATATAATTTTATCTTTGGTGTGTAGAAATAATTTTTAAAAATTTAAAAATATTTTTTTGACATTTAATTTTGTCAAATTAGTTTTTATTTTATCAAATTGACAACTTTGCCCTTGAAATTGAGCAATAGTATTTTCAATTATCCTTATTTGGAATAAGATTCAAAATTTAGGATTACATGTGTTACAATTGAAAATACAAGAAACAAAGTGGTACAAGCCTTAAACTATAGAAACTATTAGTGTAATTCGCTCTTTATTTTATAACCCCAAAGCTGGTGTAAATGCAGACGAAATAAATGAATGAGATGCATATGTATCAATCAACATATTAACAATAGAATTGCATAACAAGAAAGTACCTCTCACTACCGAAGGCGCTGATACTAGGTCTAGCATGGTAACAGCATACACACACCCTGAAAGTCTCTACTCTACCTGCTCACCCCTCAGAGCATAAGTCTGATGTATTGACTGAGCCGAAGAGATTTCTTGATCGGCCATCGAGACCTGAGCTGACTGTATAGGTTGGTGACTCGGTGTCTGCCTCGAACCAGAAGCATCAGGTATGTTGCCTGACTGAGGGTAAAACCTCTTCATGTGCCCTGCTTGCTTACACTGATAACAAGTGAGCAACTCCCCTAACTCTGGCTCTGAGAACGAGCTAAAAATGATGCAGATCGCTGTCCTCCTCCTCTCTGCGGGCAAGCTGGAGACTTGTGGCCCAATTGACCACACTTAAAATAAGTGAAATCTTCCTGACCACCTCTTCTAGGACCCAAACTCGGTATTGGAAAAGTGGACCTCGACTGGGCTTCCTGGGACTGTTATGGGTTAGAACCCCTCTA